AGTAAGGAGATGATGAAGTGTAAGGGCTAATAACGTTGAAGAGGACTGAGCCATTGTCCCAAGGACAAAGGTAGGCCTTCTACCTTGCTGAACTTGTCACATACTCACCTTTGTTCTCACCTCAGGTCTGCATCAGCAGGTGGTGTGCTGTCCATTCCAACTTTGGAATACAAAAATTCAGAATGACTTTCAAAAGTCAGAAGTGCAATGTTACAAAACGGGTCAACTCAAACTTCCCAACTTGAAAGAGGAGCCCGTTAGTTTGATTTCTCTGTCCAGTGATGATGCCAGATATAAATATTTTTGGTAATTTTGTTTTTGTGTTAGATTTTCAGCATTTGCTGTATTTTTCTTTTGTTTGGAATCTAGAATATTTAACCGAGTACTGAGGGTTATCTTACTTGTCAAGCAGGGATTTCTTTGTTAACAGTAAGAAACAAAGATATATTTGAGATAACAATGTGTAGAGCTGGATGAACACAGCAGGCCAAGCAGCATCATAGCAGCAGGAAGGCTGACGTTTCAGGCCTGGACCCTTCATCAGAAATGGGGGAGGGGAACGGGGTTCTGAAATAAATAGGGAGAGAGGGGGAGGCGGATAGAAGATGGATAGAGGAGAAGATAGGTGGAGAGGAAACAGACAGGTCAAAGAGGTGGGGATGGAGCCAGTAAAGGTGAGTGTAGGTGGGGAGGTAGGGAGGAGATAGGTCAGTCCAGGGAGGACGGACAGGTGAAGGGGGCGGGATGAGGTTAGTAGGTAGGAAATGGGGGTGCGGCTTAAGGTAGGAGGTGGGGGTGGGTGGGAGGAAGAACAGGTTAGGGAGGCGGGGACGAGCTGGACTGGTTTTGGGATGCGGTAGGGGGAGGGGAGATTTTGAAGCTTGTGAAATCCACATTGATACCATTGGGCTGCAGGGTTCCCAAGCAGAATATGAGTTGCTGTTCCTGCAACCTTCGGGTGGCATCGTTGTGGCACTGTAGGAGGCCCAGGATGGACATGTCGTCTGAGGAATGGGAGGGGGAGTTGAAATGGTTCGCGACTGGGAGGTGCAGTTGTTTATTGCGAACCGAGCGTAGGTGTTCTGCAAAGCAGTCCCCAAGCCTCCGCTTGGTTTCCCCGATGTAGAGGAGGCCACAACGGGTACAGCGGATGCAGTATACCACATTAGCAGATGTGTAGGTGAACATCTGCTTCATGTGAAAAGTCTTCTTGGGGCGTAGGATGGGGGTGAGGGAGGAGGTGTAGGGGCAGGTGTAGCACTTCCTGCGGTTGCAGGGAAAAGTGCCAGGTGTGGTGGGGTTGGAGGGGAGTGTGGAGCGGACAAGGGAGTCACGGAGAGAGTGGTCCCTCCGGAAAGCAGATAAGGGTGGGGAGGGAAAAATGTCTTTGGTGGTGGGGTCGGATTCCAGATGGCGCAAGTGTCGGAGGATGATGAGTTGGATCCGGAAGTTGGTGGGGTGGTACGTGAGGACGAGGGGGATTCTTTTTTGGTTGTTATTGTGGGGACGGGGTGTGAGGGATGAGTTGCGGGAAATGCGGGAGACACGGTGGAGGGCGTTCTCGACCACTGAGGGGGGGATGTTGCGGTCCTTGAAAAACGAGGACATCTGAGATGTGCGGGAGTGGAATGCCTCATCCTGGGAGCAGATGCAGCGGAGGCGAAGGATTTGGGAATAGGGTATGGCATTTTTGCAGGAAGGTGGGTGGGAGGTGGTGTATTTTAGGTAGCTGTGGGAGTCAGTGGGCTTGAAATGGATATCGGTTTCTAGGTGGTTGCCCGAGATGGAGACAGAGAGGTCCAGGAAGGTGAGAGAGGTTAGAGATGGTCCAGATGAACTTAAGGTTGGGGTAGAAGGTGTTGGTGAAGTGGATGAACTGTTCGATCTCCTCGTGGGAACACGAGGCGGCGCCGATACAGTCATCAATGTAACGGAGGAAGAGGTGGGGTTTAGGGCCAGTGTAGGTACGGAAGAGGGATTGTTCCACGTAACCTACAAAGAGGCAGGCATAGCTTGGGCCCATGCGCGTACCCATGGCTACCCCCTTTGTCTGTAGGAAGTGGGAGGAATTGAAAAAGAAGTTGTTGAGGGTGAGGACGAGTTTGGCTAAGTGGATGAGGGTGTCAGTGGAGGGGGACTGGTCGGGCCTGCGGGACAGGAAGAAGCGGAGGGCCTTTAGGCCATCTGTATGGGGAATGCAGGTGTATAGGGACTGGACGTCCATGGTAAAGATGAGGTGTTGGGGACCGGGGAATTGGAAGTTCTGGAGGAGGTGGAGGGTGTGGGTGGTGTCACGGATGTAGGTAGGGAATTCCTGGACCAAGGGAGAGAAAATGGAGTCCAGATAGTTGGAGATAAATTCGGGGTGCAGGAGCAGGCGGAGACAATGGGTTGACCAGGGCCCTCAGGTTTGTGGATTTTGGGAAGGAAATTGAAGCGGGCGGTGCGGGGTTGGGGAACAATGAGGTTGGAGGCTGTGGGTGGGAGGTCACCTGAGGTGATGAGGTTGTGGATGGTTTGGGAGATGATGGTTTGATGGTCGGGGGTGGGGTCATGATCAAGGGGGCGGTAGGAGGAGGTGTCGGAGAGTTGGCGTCTGGCCTCGGCGATGTAGAGGTCAATGCGCCATACTACAACTATGCCTCCCTTGTCCGCGGGTTTTCTGGTGAGGTTGGGATTGGAGCGGAGGGCTGCACGTTCTGCGCGGGAGAGGTTGGAATGGGTGAGAGGGGTGGAGAGGTTGAGGCAATTGATGTCTCGACGGCAGTTGGAGATGAAGAGGTCGAGGGAGGGTAGGAGGCCTTGGGGTGGTGTCCAGGAGGAGGGGGTGTGTTGGAGGCAGGAGAAGGGGTCAGTAGAGGGAGGGTTAGGTTCACGGTTAGAGAAGTAAGCGTGGAGGCAGAGGCGGCGGAAAAACTGTTCGATGTCCAAGCGTGACCGGTATTCGTTGATCTGTGGGTGGAGGGGGACAAAGGTGAGCCCTTTACTGAGGACTGACTGTTCGTCCTCAGTAAGGGGGAGGTCTGGGGGGATGATGAAGACTCAGCAGGGCTGGGTGTTGCTGCTGGAGCTGCTGGCTGTGGAGGCGGTGGGTGGAGCGACGTCGGCGTCGGCTGTGGGCAGAGTTGCGTCAGCGCCAGCGGTGGGCGGGGTTGCGTCGGCGATTCTCCAGCATCTGCAGTTCCTACTATCCAAGATATATTTGAGGTTTTTTCTGCAATATACTCATTCATTCGCTATTAGAATGAACAAATAGCATTGCAGTCTAATCACAGGACTTGTCTAACTCGTTCTTTTATAGTGGAAATTCATTCTGATCACATTCCCACTTCTGAGTTAACAAAGTAAAAAATATCTTTACTGGATTTCCGGTAAGACTATCTGAGGTCTCAGGATTCAATAGGATTATTTTGCTGCTGCAGGTGTTTGCTGCTGCTGACTCTCTTTTGGGCTGAAATTCCAGGGGTGACAGATATAGGACAGATGTCAGAGGTAGGTTCTTTACTCAGAGAGTAGTAAGGGCGTGGAATGCCCTGCCTGCAAAAATAGTAGACTCGCCCACTTTAAGGGCATTTAAATGGTCATTGGATAAACTTATGGATGATAATGGAATAGTTCAGGTTAGATGGGCTTCAGATTGGCTTCACAGGTCGGCGCAACATTGAGGGCCGAAGGGCCTGTACTGCGCTGTAATGTTCTATGTTCTATGTTCTGTCAGACTTTGTAACCCCAGGAGGAGGTCAATTGAACGTTTGTGGAATTTCAGCTTCTTATCTCTGTATTAAATTGGTTATTTCACCATCCTGCCTATTCAGGAGTTAGTATATCAGCTGCTCATAATCACACAACAAGAAAAACTGCATGGAAACCCAAATAGGGAGTAAAATTTCAACAATAAGAACGTCACTCATAGATTTATCTGATGTTAGTGTGAACTCACTTTTATCCACTAAAATCTGATTTTTTTGTTGAACATGAAATCAACTGAAGATGGCTCAGGTTCTTGACAATAGTTCCATCATCCATCTGCATAATATATGACCTTGGATTCTTGGCCACTCCTTTCACTATAGCAGGATTTCATCCTAATTATCCTTATTAATCCATAATCCTTAACTTGAACTGTTAGTGTTCAATGAGTACTGAGACTTGTGCTCCAGAAGTAGTCATGCCCCCAACCAAGCTGTTCTAACAGAGTTACAACACTGGAATCTACTCAGAAATGTGGAAAATCATTCAGGTATTCCTGTCTGTAAAATATCCACCCAATTGCCACTGAATTAGCCTACGGTCAATCTGCAAAGTGGTGGAAGAGATCATTCACAGCACTATCAAGAGGTATTTACAAAAATATGCTCACTGATGCTCAACTGGGTTCTGCAAATGTCACAGTAAGTATCTTGCTCTGAAAGCATAATAGAAATTTAATGCAGTGACATGATTTTAGCTTTAAATAGTGGGACTATAAACCAACCATTTACTTGTACGATGAAAAAGAGTCAGAATCAGGAATATTGAATCAGCATTTCTGGTTGGACGCAAGGCTAAATTGTTTCACGTTGTCATGGAGAAGGTGATTTTTTTGTAGATCAGGCTACAGGCTTCCCTGTCTCTCACGTGCAGCAGTTTTGTGTTGGCAGCAGAGAAAAGTGGCTGCTTAGCTTTTTGTGCCACCACAGCAGATGCAGGAGGAATAGCCTCAAGTCAAAAAGAGGCACCCACAACTATTTAAGGATCCCAGGACATTCATTGTGGTTTAGCCAGAAGGCAAGAATCATCAGAACAGGCTTTACAGCTGTTAGAGGATTTTGGAAGTACTCTGAAAACTGAAGAAATGTCTGGAGGCAGTCATTTAAAGTTATCACATTCAAAAGAGGGAGATGGGAATGCTTTGAAAGCAGGGAACTGCTGTGGAATGTTTAATGTGCAATTTAATGTTTTCAAATCAATAGTGTTTCAGTGATCTACTGTGTATTTTAATATGCTTCCATGATTTGTAGGTCGTTACTGTGGAAATATAATGCCTCATCCTATCACATCATTCAGTGATGCCTTGTTTATCAACTTCAGCTCCAACAATGTCAACACATTCAAAGGTTTCCGAACAGTTTATGCCGCATCCACATCAGGTAAAGTGATATCAACAAAACTTTAAATACTGAGGGACAAGTAAGATCATGCAAAACCCTTCTCCAATTTTGAGTCAAAGTTGCATATTAAAAACAATACAGAGTTCAGGTTGAGGATCTCAGCTTATCACCTTAGCTTTCGGCTGGTTCACTAGCCAACCACAAAACTGAACTGTTTCCTTAGATGCGGGGTTACTTATTGAAAGGATCAGTAACAAACAGCACTGAAATTCAACACATAGTGAGAGAGAAGTATAACAAATAAACAGATAAACAAAAAGTACCAAAAAATAGCTCAAGCAGAATAGCACAACAGCTCAGTCTGGCAGTTTTCTCTGTGTGGGCTGGTGGCCTGGAAGTTCTTCATTAACAGGACCCCTAGCCCCATCAGAGAGTGTAAATCCCAGCTTTCCCACCCCATGCCATTCTACCTTAGACCTCCATCATCCTCATCCTCATCCTCCTCACTGGGATCTGCTCGCTTGGTCCTGGTGAGAGCTCAGACTTGCTCCAATCTTTGCTCCAGGGCAGCTCCCCTTCCTTTCAGCCTCAAGCGAGTACCAGGAGCAGCCATTGCTCCAGGTGGTGCTGCCACAACTGAAGAACTGCTCCTTTCCGATTAGATAGTTGTTCTATGAGATGGGACTTCCTGTTACTGAGGGAGGGAATCCCAGTTCACAGCCATTCAGCCATTTAATTCTTGCAAGGCACTGGAGTGCACTTAGACTTATCCACAGTATTTCAGCTGACTTGGGATGGGAGACCTGTGAGAACTACAGACTTTGATTAAATCCAGCTCTGGGCTGAAAATATCTTGAAAGCTGACGTACTATATTAAATGACAGTTGATGAAAAGTCAAGCAATGTTTCTGAGCCTGCAGATATATGCAGAAGTATATGGACTTCAGTTATACACCCCCATTGTATTCTGACATTCCAAAGTTCCCAAGAAGCTGACTTTTCTGAACTGATTCCTTAAGATAGCAACTGACCTGATTACTGTGCCTCTGCGGCCTTTGCGTTTTTATGCCAACATTCTCCTCCTGCACTGTATTCATACTTCTTTTGCAGCTGTGTTGCTACTTTATAAAAACCACTGGAATTCATTTTTTATTAACAGGACTAAGTCAGAACTGATTTCCATTTACTCTTGGGGTATGGAGCATCAAATTTGAATCCATTTGCAGGGTGTGATAAATGCCTTAAGCAGACCAACTATTTCTGGGTGTGACTGCGTAGAATATTCGTGTGGTTAGACTCCTCTGTGTGATCCCACCCAAATTCACAACAAAGAATGAGACAATATTTGGGCCATGCAGTCAATAGTCACATCACTGAACTAGAGATAACAAGGGGTAGAGCTGGATGAACACAGCAGGCCAAGCAGCATCAGAGGAGCAGGAAAGCTGACGTTTCGGACCTAGACCCTTCTTAACGTCAGCCTTCCTGTTCCTCTGATGCTGCTTGGCCTGCTGTATTCATCCAGCTCTACACCTTGTTATCTCAGATTCTCCAACATGTGCAGTTCCTATTATCTCTCACATCACTGAACTAACCTGGTTTATGCATACTCCCCAGCACTAAGACTACCTGTGGCATCTCCTCCTCACTTGCCGCTTTAAGTGACTATGTGAAGAGTGTGTTAAGATGTCCAGAGAATTTTTCTTCTCTTCTGCAACCCCTAAAATATGCAATGTTAACGGTGTTTTCTTGCTGTGCAAAATGTGCAGTAGCAACCTTGGCAGGGAGAGAGTCTTGAATGCTTTTGCTCCGTCAATTTTTGTCTTCCACACCTGTCCTAGGCCTTCAGTGGTGCACAAATGCTAAGCTTCAGAATCCTTTAAGATCTTTACAACTGGTTTGGTGCTGCAGTCACATCCTTTAGCATTATTTTGGCAGCATTATTTGTCATCGGCTTTCTCTGGACAATAGGAATACTGCCGGGAACCAGATGTACATCATAAGTAACTCTGAACCAGGAAATAGTAACTGAGGGTTGGCATGGATTCAGAGGTGTGTGGAAATCCCTCTTTGGCAGAAATCTGTCCCAAAAGGCATAATTCCAGTCCATGAAAACATCTTTAATTACTTTAGCAAGACCATAAGGATAGAAAATCAGATTTATTTTTTACTTGACAGAAGTTTTGAAATCATCAAATAATCGATTAGAACTTCTTTCTTGCATTACACTACTTTTTTACATTTACCTACTTTTTAATTAAAATTACTGAAATCATGAAGGATGTCTCCTTGCCATCTAGTCAGAAAAAGCTTATTATTATGTAATTATTAATTTATAATGATATTAATGGGAAGGAAGAGGAGACAAAAAATCAGGTACCAAATTAAAATCATAAAATGAAGTGCTGGGCTTAGTCAAAGTGTAAAGGTTATGCAAGCCATTGATTTTGTTTAAAAATGCAGCAAGCTTGGTATAATTAGGCAATCAGTGAAGTTGTACATAAATTATGCATTGGAAAGCTTGGATTAAAACCAGCAAGTAAACTTTTCAAAATTGATTATTATTAACAGCATTGACATTGAACAACACTTCCCAGAATTGTTAACTGTTCATTCTTTCACAGCGTGTGGCGGAATGTATCACATGGAAACTGGAGCATTCAATAGTCCCAACTTTCCTGATGAATCTCCACCCAACTATGAGTGTGTCTGGTACATCATCACTTCACCTGGTAACCGTGTCCAACTATCCTTCATGTAATTACCATTTACATTTTGTTTTATTCTCTTGTGGGATGGGTACATCGCTGGCTGGGGCAGCATTTATTGCCCCTCCTTCGTTGCCCTTAAGAAGGTGGTCGTGAGCTGCCTTCTTGGACTGCTGCAGTCCATGTGCTATAGGTGTATACATATTTATTTTAGACTAATACCTAAAGGAAATTTTTCCTTTGATTAATCTACCTTATTTATTGTAAAATGTTATGAATGTAGTCATGTTTAGCTTGGATCTCTGCAGCATTGCAGGATAACTCGTCAGATAAAATATATTATTCATTTTGTCCACGTTTAACAGATCTTTCGATATTGAACTAAATATAAACTGTACCTCAGCTTACCTTGAAATTCGAGAAGGGAATTCCACTGGACAATTAATTGGACGTTACTGTGGAAGTTCTTTACCTGCAAATTATACATCAAATGAGAGGCACATCTTGTGGGTGAAGTTTGTGTCTGATCCAACGTCTCCTGGTGGTAGATTCAGAGCCATCTTTTCTCATTGTAAGTATTGGACTCAGAACATGATGCTTGTCAAAACCGTTCTCATAACTAAAGTTGAAATATTTTATAAATATGAAGGATGGATCACAATGCTTGTTATGAGTAACAAAGTTGTAAATCCAATTACCTTCAATGATCATTTCTAATAAAATGGTTATGTTGAAAAGAAACAGTATTTTACAACATGGGAATACTTTTGATCCATTATGCTGTTGCCAGCTCTGAAAGAGACTATCTGTATAAACTTATTTCCTTGATTTATCTCCCATTCTTGTTGACGGTGGCAATTGATGGTCTGCATAGGAATGTTCCATGTCACTGATCATGGGTTCTGTGTGTCCTTGTGTGGAGGATCAGCCCAGTCCTAGGGCCTGTCTGGCAGCTGTTTCCAGGATGTAGAATTGGAAACGTGGAACATGAATCTCTCTTTTAATATTGTTTTGTTTTTCACATATGAAGAATGTATTCCCAATATTGCTACATATAGCAGCCAGATCAATTATTTTCCAATAGTTTTTTTTATTGAAAAACAATCCTGCTTCCTCTTTTTCAGCAGATGTTTTCTAAATGATGTTTTGTTAATAAACAAATACATTAGGGTTTCCAGAGAAAATTAAAGTCTGAATGTAGAATTGTATTCTTAATGCCAGGGCTGCTGGTATAGTTGTCATTGTTTTATGTTATTAAATATAGCAACCAATTTAAACAATGCTTAATCTTCCTGTTGAAATTTTCAGCCTTAGAATTTATGCATAAACCAGTTTGGATGACACACTTCAGAAGATCATTGCATAAATAAAAAGAAGGAAAGTTCAAATAAAAACATCACTATAAAGAGTTTAAGTGCAAAGAAAGATCTTTGCTAGTGCTCCTTGCAAGGAACCTAAAAATAACTCATGAGGGCAGCTAGTTGGATTTTCATGTAGAATGACAAGGGCAGCAAATGCACAGCAACACCACCACTTACAAATTCCCCTCCAAGTCACTCCACTTCCTTGGAATGGTATCACTATTCCTTTATTGTCACTGGGTCAAAATCCTGGAACTTCTTCCCTGACCCCACAATGTGTGGTCCTACTCTTGTGCAGCCTTAGTATGTTATAATTTTGATGAAAGAATAAGAATTGTTTTGTTTGAGAATAAGGCTTGGATTTTTTACAGAGTTGCTAAGACTCAGTGGACCTTTAAAAATGGCAGACAGGGTCCAGTTGCGGAGGTCTTATTCCTGTAGGACTCCTACTGCAGTAGAACAGATCCTGTCTTTCCTGTTAAATGATAACATGTGGTGTGATTACCACAGGAGGAAAACTGATCAAAAGTCCAATCCAATCTCATTTTGGCTTTTGCAAAAGCTTTAACTTGCAATGCAATGTGCAAATCATGAATTGATTGACTGGATATAAATGGCCTTGAAGGATGGATAAGTTCTGCAAATTCGTCATCAGTGAGGTTTTAACATCCAACCCACTTTTTAATTTTAAAAAAAGGCTGCTGCTGTTATTGAGTGTAAAAATACCCCTCTGCTAGATTGCTTTGACTACAGACCACCAGGTGCAGGTTAAAAATGAACATGGAAGGAAATGATAAATCATGTTCAATAGAGCCTTTTCTGACATTTCCTCAAGTGCTGTTATGATGTCGTTATGAATGTTTGGTTAAGTTTCAAAAGCTTTAATTACGCCAGTAGGCTGATCTGAGTACATAGATTGATCGTTGAAAGATTCTATTAAAGGATTAGCTGTCTTTGATGAATTGTTTATTTTTATAAGAGATTAACCATGTGAGATTTAAAAGATTTGAATAGGTTATCTAAACAGGAGTTCTTTTTATCCCATCAATTGTTTAAGAGCGAAAGTGATATAGATTGTTTTAGAAAGTATTAGATTGTTTGTTTGTTTGTTTGTTAACTTCATTCTATAATCGTCATTCCATCTTGTATCTATTATTTCAATGTATGAAATAGTACCTTTATTTTGTTTGGACTTTTTAGTATTTAGTAGTTCAGTTCAAGATATCTGTATAACTTTAAAGGTCTGAGATCATCAGCAGCTAAATTGTACCTTGAGTCAAAGATAAATTATAACCTGGTAACATGAACATTGGATTATTGATTTTAAGTTGAATGTTATGTTTAGATTGCAAAGAGTGAAACAGTATCCAGTGAAGTAGCTGGGCTACTCTGTTGAATTTCTTTTTCTTTATTCATTCCCGGGATGAGGGCATCACTGGCTAGGCAGCATTTATTGCCCATCCCTAATTGCCCAGAGGGCAGTTAAGAGTCAACCACATTGCTGTGGGCCTGGAATCACATGTAGGACAGACCAGGTAAGGATGGCAGTTTCCTTCCCTAAAGGGCATTAGTGAACCAGATGGGTTTTTCCAACAATTGACAATGGATTCATGATCATCATTAGGACTTAATTCCAGATATCTATTGAATTCAAATTCCACCATCTGCCATGGCAGGATTCGAACCCAGGTCCACAGGACATTATCTGGGTCTCTGGATTAACAGTCCAGTGATAATACCACTAGGCCATTGCCTCCCCAATTGTTGCATGTTTTTAAGGCAAAACTGGATAGGTTTTTGAACAATAAACGAATTACAGTTTATGGTGAGCGGGCAGGTAGGCTGAGTCCATGATCAGCCGTGAGCTTATTGAATGGTGGAGCAGGCTCAACAGGCCAGATGGCCTACTGCTGCTCCTATTGCTTATGTTCTTGATGAAAGAAAGCCATTTTTTATTATTGCAAATTACGTAGGTGTTAACATAAAGGACTTTAGCTAAAATGTGTTTCTTTCAGTGTATGGCAATGAGATTGTCGGATTCCAAGGACAAATTGCATCTCCACTGTGGCCACTGCATTACCCACATAATGCCAACTACCACTGGACAATTACTGTTCCTGCGTCCTATATCATCCATGTCAGAATATTGGAATTGGATATTGATGCAATACAAAGATGCAGATATGATAATTTAATGGTGAGTAATCCTTCATACTCAAGAAGATCAAGCCCTTTACTGGGAGGCTTAGGTGAAATCCATAGTGCAACCTCAACAACTTCAGCAACACTTTCCATAAGCGTTAAGTTATATTGCCTGTGGCTGCACCTATTTCTTTGGAAGCATTACATTACAGAAAAAAGCCTGCTATCACATGTTGTAGATTTATCACATAAATTGATTGCAGATTTATTTGCACTAACAATCCCAGAATTGCAGAAAATTAGGAATAGGAGGATTTTGAAGTTTTTTTAATATTGCCAACTTCCAACATTTTCACCAAACTGTGCGGTTATAGGGAGAGGCCGGAGAGGCCGAATAACCTGGGGCTTTCATTTCCCTGGAGCTTCGGAGGCTGAAGGAGGATCTTATTGAGGTTTATAAAATCATGAGGTACATGGATAGGATGAACAGCCAAGGGCTTTTTCCTATGGTGGGGGAGTCCAAAGCTAGAGGCCATAGGTTTAAGGTAAGAGGGTTAAGATATAAAAAGGACCTGAGGGGTAATGTTTTTGTGTAGAGGGTGGTGTATGTATGAAATGAGCTGCCAGTGGAAGTGGTGGAGGTGAGTAAAATTACAACATTTAAAATACATCTGGATGGGAATATGAATCAGAAAGGTTTAGAGGGATATGGGCCAAGTGCTGGCAAATGGGACTAGGACAGATTGGGATAACACAGTGTGGAGCTGGAGGAACGCAGCATGCCAGGCAGCACCAGAGGAGCAGGAAAGTTGATGCTTCGGGTCAGGACCCTTCTTCAAAAATGGGGGAGGGGGAAGGGAGCTCTGAAATAAATAGAGAGAGGAGGGATGGGGCTGGGGAAGGTAGGTGGGATGGTGTTAGGTGAGTGCAGGTAGGCAGTGGTGGGGATTGGTCAGTGGAGTGAGGTGGGAGAGAAGATGGACAGGTTGCGTCAGGTCAAGGAGGCGGGATGTGAGGGAAGTTTGGTCATGGGATGAGGCCGGGGGTGGGGTGATTTTGAAACTGGTAAAGTCCACATTGTAGGCTTTACCAGTTTCAAAATTCCCATCCCCGGCCTCATCCCATGACTAACCCTCCCTCTCATCCCCGCCCCCTTGACCTGACACAACTTGCCCATCTTCTCTCCCACCTACCTGCTCCTCCCACCTCACTAACCAATCCCCAGGAAGAGCTCCTCTTCCTGCAGTACCAGCATATACCAATGATGTTGGCTTTCTCCTTGCGCATGCACACTCTTTACACCACCTCACTTGGCACTTATACAAATCGCAGCTTATTTTCAGAGATTTTTCAAGATACTCAAAATAATGTTGCTGCATCTAGAATCACTTCTCACTGTGCTATTAGTTTGTACCCATTGATACTGCTAACAGGAGCGATTCACCAGTAAATCATCAGTTCCGTCAAATAATCCTAAATGCTATCCTACTGCTTCTTTGAAATAATTCAATCAGGTATTCTTTATAATTGAGACTAACTTCTCACCCAGCTACTTTCAAATACACCATCCACACTTGAAAGCCCTTCACCATCAGACTATGATTTTATTGGAGAACAATGGTCAGAATTACAAGTATTTAATCTGTGTAAGATATTTCCAAGGAGATTAAATTTCTCTAAAGATTAATCAGATGACCAAAACAAGAGTAGTGAGGTCAGCCTGTAAGGATTCCATAGGAAAGAAAAAGAGGGAGATGGAACAATTGTGAAAGATTTAAAGAGAAAGAACAGAGCAGAAAAATTCAAAAGATGAAACAAAGAACCAGGGGATTTACATAAAAAGGCATTGAGTGGTGCCAGAAAGAGCGTGAGGAAAGGAGATATTTGTGGAAAGCTAAAACAAGAGCAAGAAAGGTAGAGATAGAGCAGGAAGTGAGAGAAAGGTATGAGCAAGATGCAATGAAGTAAGAATCAAACCCAAAAATGGAGGAATGAGAAGTAGAAAATGTTTACAAATAGAGACAGTTATAAAAGGAAAGACAAAAGTTTCAGTTCTAATTTTGTCCTTAAGCATTGCTATGGGAAACCAGCCATATTTCTAGTAAAGAGATAACAAGGTGTAGAGCTGGATGAACGCAGTAGGCCAAGCAGCATCAGAGGAGCAGGAAGGCGGATGTTTCAGGCCTAGACCCTTCTTCAGAAAACCTAACACATTTTTCTGTTTTCTGAAGAAGGATCTAGGCCCGAAACGTCAGCCTTCCTGCTCC